AGACCCAACGAAGCTAAGTAACACGGGGGACCCTAGGGAAGTTGCTTAATTTTCATTCCAAAGGGCAAACAGAATAGAGCCTGGAAGCAGCTGAAGAGAAGGAACAGGACAGAACCTACCATAGAGGTCCTCTGAAAGGTCCCACCCAGCAGGGGATCAGAGCAGATGCTGAGACTCACAGCCAAACTTTGGGCACAGTGCAGGGAGTCTTATGGGAGAGTAGGGAAATAGAAAAACCTGGAGGGGACAGGAGCTCCACAAAGAGACCAACAAAACCAAAAAATCTGGACCCAGGGAGGTGTGCAGAGATTGATGCACCAATCAAGTGCCATACATGGAGAGGATCTAGAACCCCTGCTCAGATGTACCCAATAGGCAGCTCAGTCTTCATGTGGGTTCCTAGTAAGGGGAGCAGGGCTGTCTCTGACATGGACTCTGTTGCCCACTCTTTGATAACTTCCCCCTGAGGGCCTTGCCAGTCCACAGAGGAAGAGGATGCAGGCAGTCCTGATGAGATCTGATAGACTAGGGTCAGATGGTAGGAAAGGAGGGCTCCCCCCCCCTTTCTGGGGACTAGGGGAGGGACATGGGGGGAAGACAGAGAGAGGGTAGGACTGGGAGGAGACGAGGAAGGGAGTTACAATTGGGATATAAAAGTGAATCAATTATAAAATAATAAAAATAAAAGGCCTAAACCTTAGAGCAGGGCAGACAGAGGTGGGTGGAGCTAAGGTTTGAGGGCTTTGGGGACAGGAGAGGATCACAGGAGAGAGAACGAAGAGGAGGAGAGTGGAAGGGAGAGCACCACAGCTTAGCATGAGAGAGGAACACACTACTGACAGGGATGGCCCAGATGAAGAATAAGCAAGTATTTATGGAACTATGGATGGGAGGTGGCCTGGGATGGAGCGGGGAGGTAAAGATAGTTTAGAGCATTACTATCTGCCCTATCCCAGGGGATTCAAGACTATTATAAAATCTATTAGGTGTTGAGCCTTTTCTTGATTGTGATAGCAGCTCAGATACACCACCATGATAATTATAGGCTATAACAAACATTATTAGACCATACCATTAAAATAACAGCAAGAGCTGGGACTACAGCTTACTGGTAGTGGGCTTGCCTTTTAGGTGTGAGGCTGTAAATTCAATTCCCAGTCCCTGCTCCTCAAACTGACAACACTCCATCATGTAATAGTATCACAAAGTAGAGTCATGCAATTTCCAGAGGATCACCATTTTAATACTAATCTCCCACCCACGCTGTAAAAATCAATAGCCAGAGGGGTGGTTTGAATTACGATGGTCTCCCATAGTATAATATATTTAAATGTTTGGTTCCCAGTGGATGGAACTGTTTGGGAAAGATTCGGAGGTATGACCTTGTTGGAAGAGGGCTTTGAGGTTTCAGAAGCCCATGCCTGTCGCAGTTAGCTCTCCGTTCTGCCTCCAGGTTATTGTCTCAATATTTAAGCTCTCAATTGCTGCTCCAGCACCGTGCCTGTCTCCCTGCTGCTACTACCACACTTCCGGACACAATGCTCACGGACTCACCCAATAAAATCCTCCTAAGTTGCCTAGTCATGGCGTCTCTTCACAGCAACTGAGACAGCCAGCTAATTGTTTTCAAGTGGATTAGAATGAAACTTTGTCTTTCTAAAACTCTATTTTAATGTCTTGATTAAAAAAAAAATTAGCTGGGCATGGTGGCAGACACCTTACTCAGGGAGGTAAGGCGGGCAGATCCCTGTGAGTTCAAGACCAGCCTGGTCTACAAGGAGAGTCCAAGATAGCCAGGATTACACAGAAAAACCCTGTCTCAAAAAAACAAAACAAATAAACAAAACCTTAAAATATGGCCATGACCTCCCAACCCCAAATGTACTCTTTTAGAATAACTATCTCTTCTAAAGACTAAAGATCTTTGGACAACCACATATGAAATAGAGAAAAATCTGGCCTTTATTTCTTATACCAACTCTTCTTTGATGGTATATATGTTATCATATTCTGTAAAATTTATTTCTGTATTTTTCTTTCTGATATATAAAAATAATTATCAGTTCCCCCAAAAAAATTAATCAGAAATTAGAAATATATAAACTTGGTACTTCAAACTGGACTAAATAAACATATAAGCTACAAAATAACTGCATGATTTAGTCAAAGAAATATGTGCCATGACATACATATGTATGATATATGATATATGTGTGTGTCCTCAATACTAGTAAATTTTCTTGCTTACATTTTTGTTAGATCAAAGAACAAACATATGGATTATTCAAGATAGTAAGAAAAAACTCATGTCAACCTTAAACCTTAGAAAAATATTTAGAATATGAACATTACTGAAATTATTTCTTACTAAAAATTTGAAATACTTAAAATTTGCCACTATGGATCAAAACACAACCGAACAAAGGCCTCTGGATCAGTTAAGGCCTCTAAGGTTGGCATGGAGACACAGGAATGGACACAGGGTGGCAGGTGGTCTCCGTTTCACTAGTGACTAACACTCATACCTATGGCCTAACAACTCTTGACACAGTAAGTGCACGGCCGAACTACAAGTGTAAGCTAAACCTGTTGATAAACAGTGTTTATAATCCCATTCACTGTCAGTTCTCTTAGAAGTTGGCTTATCTATCGACCTACAAAAATAGTTTTTCCCACATGGGAGGAGAGGAGGGAGGGAGGACAGGATTAGGAGGGGACCAGGAAGGGGGGGCTACAGCTGGGATACAAAGTGAATAAATTTTAATAAATAAAAAAAATAGTTTTCCCCAAGATTTCTTTTCAGTCTGAAAACCCAGTGAGCACAGAAAAGCACAGGATAGTTTGCTCCCAATTTGACCGCCAACTTGCTAGTCCATTTGCTTCGAAGACTTCCATGCAAGTTGAAAGTAAATATATAATTATTTTCAAGTCTCTGAAGCCTTTGTGATCCTTCTACTGTTTAGTTGAATGTTCTTCTATACTGTAACATGTTATTTGATCATCTGACATTAGCCATTTAGACCATGTCAATTTTTATTTGTTTACACAGAGACGACATCTTACAGAAAAAGGTGGGTATTTTCTCTTAACTTTGGACCCTATGTTTTGTTTTGTTTTGTTTATTTTACGGCTTGTTACATTCTGCCAAGCTGCCTGTCAAAAGCACGGAGCAGTTTCCACATCCTGCAACAATGCTGTGACTCCTCACCTCAGGGAGACTTCAACCAATCTTCTGGTCAGTATGTTGCAAGGAACGTTTTCCTCATTGTTTTTTCCTTTTATTCCTTAACTACGCAACATTTTTCAGTAACATGGTTATTCTGAAACTATTGCTTTGTGAACAAAATAATAAAAACAAACCTGTATCCAAATTTCTTTTCCAAATTAGCTATACTCTAAGTTTTCAATTTAACTTCTGATAATTTTGCTCTTTTAATAATACTACTTTAAAAAATTAACTAATTTAAATTACTCTTAGTGGCCAAAAAGTTTTATTGTCAAGATCTAAAATGGGAGAGGTTAGATAGACGTATCAGTCTCAAATTAATCTTAGCATGTACTCAGTTACCACATGACAAAGTAACTAGCCACTGTTCCGCAGTAACTAACCTCACTCTCATTCATTTTTACATTGTATAATGGGGACAATTCTGACTACATTTCAGAGTTGAAATTATATATAATATATATATATATATATATATATATATATATATATAATATATATATATATTCTTTCTGAGCAATACAAAACAGACTTAAGGAACTGACCTGAGCTAGCAGCTGAAAGGGCTGAGGAGACACCATAACACTGCAGAGCGGTTATGGTTGAGTGAAGGGGGCTGTCTCCATTATCACCCTTTTCTTAAGCTACAACTGGGATGTGCTCTGAAAGTCCCCTCGCCTCACCCCATGTGCTGGGGTTTGAGAATGAAGAAATCATGTGAGCTCTGAGCTCATGAAGTCAGTGGCTTATAAAATGGCTGGCTGGAACTAGCTTAGGCCTTTCCCCTTCTGCCCTCCACCATGAGAGACGCAGGGAATGAACTGAACGCTCATAGGTTCATCTTCTTCAGAGAAGGACGCAGCAACATGGTGTCATTTTAGAAGCACAGAGCAGAGCTGTGTGCCCCTGCCTTTAGAATGGAATATATATATATATATATATATATATATATATATATATATATATATA